AACACAAATAAGACAATTCAACGAAAATCAAAAAGCTTCCAACAAAATTTTTGCTGAGAATTTTACTTACAGAATGGAATGAATTTATTACAAATAAAGAAGTGTTGGAAAGAGCTGCAATTGAAGATATCAACACAGTCATAAAAGGAGTAGATAGAGATATCTAGGACATGTTTTAAGCATGCCGAAGACAAGATTGCCCTGTCAGACATGGTATTGGAAACCGACTGGAAAAAAAACCAAACGAGGAAGATCGATCACCCAAGACCTGGGTTTACCCTCAACAGTGTTTTGGGTTACTTGAAACTTGATACAAAATTATTCAATTCGTTGTTTTAGCACTACCCAGCACGCCTGGAAGTTGTTAGGAAAACGGTTGGTAGGCATACCGGATATCAGGGGGGAAGGCTGACTTGTTTGACAGGGTAATCAAAGTGAGACGGGACCAGATAGGACCGGCAGATGTCACACAAGAATCTTACTCGAGGCCGAGGCAGCAACACTGAGTAGTGAATGAAAACAAATTCTGAATTCATCATATTATTGCATATTCAACCACCAAAATAATCGGGAAAGTATCTCATCAAATATTAATTCCAGCTAAAATTAAATTTAACTTCAGTTGTGAATACACGAACACAAAGCAAAGAAGCAGAGATGTCAGTACTACACATATAACACCTGTGAGTTTAAACTCTTTGGTAGAACATGACAATAGTCAATTTTTCATTTCACTTTTGTCTGTTTTTGTCTAGCTTTTCGCGGCCAGGAGCGGGTGTCATAATCGAGGTCACGATCTGAATATAGGACGGTAAAAAGTCGAGGAAAAAACAACAACAAGCACTTGCAGCAGTCAAGAGACTATGAGTTGTCAGTTCCCCTCACATTCGTGAGGTAGACCTGACCTGTGTAATAGTTCGCTCACATAATCAGTGCTTGTGACTGCTTATGACTGTGATCCGAAAGGGGTGAGCAGGGTATAAGTGGCAATGAAACAGTTTTGAATGCTGTATACTTGTTCCCTTCAACTCTTTTGGTAGTCTCTTCCAGCCTCACTTTAAGTTTACTTAATCAAAGCTTCTGACTGCTTATCGAGTGGCTCGAAAGGGGTGAACATGCTATTTCTGTAGCAATGAAAGCGTTTAGAATGTTAAGCATACACGTACTACTGTTCATTGGGGATTAAGATTAAGAACGGGTTTATGTTTATTGGTGAATTTGACTGAGACAATGTTTCAAAATTAGGAAGGGAAGCAGTGATTATTTGATTAGAAAGATGCTTCGCCACTGCCAGATATTTAAATAGATAAATGCAAGGTAGAATTTGGGGTAAGAAATAATTTTTATCGATACCTGTTCATTTTATTTAATTTATGTATTATGATTTTGGCTGGCCGGGAAGGAGGGTTTAAGGTATCAAAATGCTCCGTAGACAGAGAATAATAAATACAGAAGAGACAAAACTTACCAGTTCAAGATGTAATGACTCACACTATTACGCAATATAATGATATCACTGAACCAGCGTAGTCTCTTTTTAAAAATCTTTAGTTAGTGTGAAATATGTATATTTTATTAAACGGCCTATAATATTCCTTGAATGTTAAATATATTCGTAAGTTTAGGATAGTCGAGCTATAGATCATTGGACGTAGTGATCTTATTTGGGTCGGCTAATTATATTTAGACGTAACTAAATGTATATGTGTAAAACTTCAGGCACACCCCAACCTTTTCCTTTTTTATTGCTAGAGGGGCGAATTTCAAAATGCGTTCTGCTGTTCCCTCAGTGGACAGCCTCATATGTCGACAATAACAACGGCCCACTGGGCATTGCCCAAAGAGTCTAATGATCACTGCGCCACTGAGCACGAGCATAATCTATACGAGCAGAGCTGCAAACTCGGGATGTACACTGATCCCATACTTATCCGCTCAACTTGAGCAAGGCCAATTCGTGCCCAGACAAGAGCTAATTAGACGCCCACATCAAACCCCTGGAGATGTCAGCGTTCTCATTGATCAAGACGAAAGCAGACACGACAAACACGTGAACGATAAGAACAGAACAATGGAGAGGACGACAACGAAAAAGAGAAAACCAGTAAATTTACGAAGAAGAATAACATACAAATTCTTGCTTAGTAGAGCAAACGAGAAAAAATCAACTAGGAGACATCATAAAGTGAAACACAGTTCCGACACTTTGTTATGTATTAATTGAACGTATTTGTAAAAACTGATAATTTTTAGAAAAAGAAAGCACTTCTAACTGTTGGTTCTAGATCTATATTATCTATAATTATATTATCATTTTTGCTCATGAAATTTAACTTCTTTTCTTTTTCAGGTGCCAGGTCTGGACCAGACATTGCAGATCACAATACCCTCTTCTTCCTGTTGTTACTCTTTCTGATCAGCTCAGTTTTTCTTATTATGTTGTTTGACCCACAGTTGTTCAGGCAATCTGTGTATTTTCTGTCTTCTTCTCCTCTTTATTTACCTTTATCTTTTCACACAGCAGCAATTTCCCGTATCTATTTGATCTATTTATGTGGCCAACGAATGTCAGCTGTCTCTATCTGATAGTTCTGATATTATTAAGATTATAAATCTTTCTCAACCTGTCATTTAGAGCACGTCTCTATTTATTGTTTCCCTCTTGTTCTTGAGATTCCGAATATTCATCCAAATACCATGTTTCGGTGGCTTCTACAGTCTTCTCTGTGTGTCCTTGTTTAGATTTCAGCTCTCGGATCCACACAAAAGGATTGACCACGTGCACACTTTAGGGGCTTATATTTTTGTGTTCATTATTCCATTTCTCTTTGAGAGGACATGTTTCATCTTGTTGGGAGTTCTTTTAGGTATTACCATCCTTTCTTTTATCTTTTTGTCTCATGTGTATGTGGTGTAATTGGGCAACCAAGGTATTTAAAGTTATAAAGTTATTCACCTGTTCTATTCTTTCTTTCTTACATGTGAAGCTGTATTCTGGGATGTCTGCACTTTCTGAGACTCAATACATTCCATTTTCATTGAGTTCAGTTGCCGTACATTCTCTCCGCTTTTCTCTGTCACTCTAGTAAGAAGCACAGAACCAGCTATCATTACTATCAATGCTGTTTCGTCGTCGTGCTGTTGGTTGCCTATTGTGACCGCTTACCTTGACTCTTTTTAGATCGCTCACGTGAAGCAGTATCATTTCTCTGAATGGCATGAAGAGATCCGTTGCTAAGAAATCCATACTCATCTGCGGACTGGCCCATATCCATTAAGCTTGTTCTCGACCTTGATTGCTGCCTGCTTTGCCCATTAAAGGTTTTACTGGTTTCTTAAGTTTTTTCCATCTATGTTCAGATCTGTCAGTATGTAGAATAGTTTTTCATGTGTAGGTGCCCTAATGATTAAGCTTTCGAAACCGCAACCCTTAGGTGATAGGATCGAATCTCGTCAGGAAACCGACGTTGTGTCTTTGGGAACGGAACGTACACGCATTTTCCTCATTTCACCCAGGTGGATATTGGAACCAAGATACAGACAGCAAAAGATCTTTCCAGTTTTTATTTTCGAGCGTGAAATCCGCAGCTTACACTCAATGATTTCTTGGAAGTCGAAAAATGCAGTGTTGTAAGGTTTGTACTGATAATAGTGGTTGTATAGCGCCTAGAACGTGCTACAGAGCGTGGATATGCATTGCATATGAATACAATTATTATTATTATTGTAATAATAATAACTATCAGTGGCGGTGGGTGGACCAAAATTTGGGTGGGGTTTAGGTTTTTCCCACTTCTTTACCACCAAATAGCAAGCAATAAGAACAAAACACGGATGATTTTTCAATACTCACGGTGAGTGAGCCACGGCACTCTGTGTTCATTGCGTGCGATCATAACTGTTTCAACTGCTTTTTTCGTTATTTTCATTTACTTTATGATAGAGTTGGGGGATGGGAAAGGGGGTTTTAAGCCCGTGAGCCCTTCACTACCAAC